CTTTTTGAACATCTCCAGCACATTTTAACAATACCGTGATAATACTGATAACCGTGATCATTTTGGTCACTAGAATCGTGATAAGAAAGTTTCATACCGTTACATCCCTAATATGTATGTTATATTTAACTTATATTATATATAAATATTGTTAATATACAAACATAACACTTTTTTCTTAAATATATACATGCATGTGCGTATATATATATATATATATATATATATATATAAACAGTACACTCATATATGTTATGTAAACAAAAAGTTTTCTTTTGGATGCAATTAATCGCGATTAATCATTTGACAGCCCTCATTTTTTTACATTACAGTAATGAAAACAATGTCACAGTGCAAACATTTGTAATGGCTCCAAAAATATACCTGTTTTTCTTTAAACGAAATATCTTATTTATCATCATATTTGTTTCATTTGATTTTGGGGTGAAATGTGATCAGGGAATGCTTTAAATAACCTTTTAAAAATTAAAATCAACAAATTATATTTAGTACAACCATCATGTACAAATCTTTCAAATTGTATTAATACATATTTTTCATGTAACTATATTTAATTATGAATTATCTTAATTACTTTATGAATATGGCTGATAACCAAAATGATGGTAAATATTATTTGTTTTTCTACTTTTTTTGTTGTTAAATATAATAAAAAAATAATAATAATATTGCCCAACAATAATGAGACTTAGACTACTGATAACTAGGTTTTGGCATTTCAATAATGTGAATTGAGGGGAAAATGTGTTTAACTGTCATAAAAAATATCATCACAAAGCAAAAAAAATCTTAAAATAGGCTTCACATTCTTTATGTGAAATATAACTTTGCATTTTTATATTATTTTTTATAATTTTTGGGTGAAGTATGACCCTTCACAGGGATCATGAAATTTATTGTACTAAACATTATCATATCCATTTTTCGGGGACCACTATTACATTAGAGGCATATTCAAGCATATTGACTGAATTTATGAAAGCTAGACTCACTTTAGTTGGCTGTTGGACTGAATGAGCTCTTGAATAAGACCTTGTCTCCTTTCAGAATCTGACAGCATAGTCTTCAACATCAGCCGTACATCAGATGCGGACTTACGCTCCAACAAAACCAACTCTACAGACAACAAACACAGAAATACTTGTCAATACTGAAAACCAAAAATTATTATTATTTAACCAAAATGATGACATATATATATATATATATATAGAGAGAGAGAGAGAGAGAGAGAGATATTTAAAAATAATTCAAGACATACATAAAAGTTCCCAAAAACTAAATAACATTTTATATAATAAATTAATTAATTACAATAAAAAATAAAATAACATTAAGAAAAAAATAATAATACATTTAGAGAGTGGTTTACAAATTATTTTTCTAAAATATACAAATTATAGTAGACTATAATATACAAAATAAGGTCACCAAAAAAAAACCCGTTGTTACATCTGACCAATGACTTCCAGTTGCTCGAAATTACTTGAGCATTATTTTTCCTTTGATTGTTTTAAAAACAATTTTTAAAAGACTTGAAAGAAAATATCAGTGATGCATTACCTGCAAGGTACTTGTTCTCTGCTGGATCTGCGAAGTTGACAGGTTTGAAGCCATGATGCTGCAGCAACCTGTTAACAGCGTCCCACTCTCTCTGCTCCTGCTGCAAGACAATGAAACACGTTATAATCACCTGCATTATTACATGCAATATCATGAATAAACCATCAGAAATAACTGCAAAAATATCAGTCTCCTCAATTTTGCTACCTTGAACTGGCTGTAGGTCCACAAAAACACGTATGTTTTGTCTCTGGACTGCAATGCAGCAGACAAAGCTTTTCTATCCATCTTTATCTATGCCAAACTATGAGCTACAACACTATTTTAAGCATCTTGTCAGGTCTTCCACCTTTCCTCTGACCAGACCAGCTCTGCAAACCCCCTCTATCCATCAACAGCAGGTGGAGGGAACCGACACAGATCAGATTACTATCCCTCCTATCCACAAGAACAATTAGAAACAGCTTCACATGATGGAAAGAGCGACGGCTCACCTGCTCCATCATCTCTAATCTGAGAGCCTGGAAGAAAACAGATGCATGTAAATATTGCATAGTTCCATGTAATGTGCATTTAGACATATATTGATTGAAGTCACGTGCAATTGTCAGGTTAGTTAATTTGTGTAAAATGTGGTGTTTAAATATTAATCCTAGTACTTTAGAGGTGGCGTCAGTTTTTACAGACAGCATTTATTGAGGCTCTAATCTCACTTCAGAGGCGCTGCGCTCCTAAAATCACAGATTCTGTGGCATTTCATGTTGCTCTTCTTGCAGTGTGCTGCCTTGGTTTGGAAAGGGCAAACTCACCTTCGGATGAAGGTCAGCATGCAAATGAAGCCGCTATCTGAAAAAGAAAGAGAAACAAGCTTTGAGCGTCCGTTTGAAGTATTCCTGTCTGTAAACTTAATCCTAGTACTTTAGAGCATATTATGGTATTAAAACTTATGACAGCTCCACGTTCAACTGAAGAAAAACTAATACCACGCTACGATACTATGATATTCTGTGAAGTAAAATAAGGTACTACTATTCTAAAAAAAAAAAAAACATGGCAAAACATGGTATTCCAATGGTAAAATCTCCAAAAACATGGTATTACTATAGTACACACAAAATATAAGCAATAAGGAAACTGCAGGGCAAACAGTGACTACAAACGCGGCTTGATTGTTTCAAGCAATAGTAATGTATACCATACCTTAAAGCACCGAAGATTAGTGTTAATTAATTACTATCATATCAAACCGTCAATTCATCATTTTATGAACCGAGAAACTCGAGTTGTTTATTGTTTCAAATAACAGAGCAGAAACTGACACGAACAAAACGCTTCCCGGATTTAGACCAATAGGAAGACAGAATGACTAAGCCACGCCCATCACGTAGTTTGCGCCTCAGTACTGACGTTTCCCTCTTTTTTTTTTTTCTTTTTTTTTTGTAGTGGTGTTACTTAGTGGCCACTAGATGGCTGCATAGGCCGAGGTTTTGAATATGGACAACCTAAAAATGTTGTATGCAACAATAATATTTATATTTATGAATAATTTAATAATAATATGTAATAAACGAAACAGTTGACATTTACTGTGGAATACAAAAAAATCATATGCATAAAATGCAAACAAGACCTCAGCAGATCAGTTCCATAATCTTTCATACCAACATTTCTGTGGCGTCAGTTTTTACAGACAGCATTTATTGAGGCTCTAATCTCACTTCAGAGGCGCTGCGCTCCTAAAATCACAGATTCTGTGGCATTTCATGTTGCTCTTCTTGCAGTGTGCTGCCTTGGTTTGGAAAGGGCAAACTCACCTTCGGATGAAGGTCAGCATGCAAATAAAGCCGCTATCTGAAAAAGAAAGAGAAACAAGCTTTGAGCGTCCGTTTGAAGTATTCATGTCTGTAAACCCTTTTTACCTCATTTTATAATATCCAGAAACCTACCTTAAAATGTCCAACTGGATATGAGCAAATAAACATTTAAAAAAGTAAAGCAACAATAATAAATGTGATTTTTTTTTACTTGTTTTCATTTTAAAGGGTTACTATTAAAGCCTACCATTTTGCATATGAAATAAAGTAATAAAACACCAATATGGAAAACGTAAATGGTTTGAAAACATAAACGATCACAAGCCCAATGATATAGCTTCATTGACAATGAAGCCACACCCAGGGTTGCCAGATTGGATGGACGATTTCCAGCCCAAAAGCTCACAAAAAAACCGCCCAAAACTTTAACTGTCAAAATAATGTGATGCCTTGGTTTGGAAAGGGCAAACTCACCTTCGGATGAAGGTCAGCATGCAAATAAAGCCGCTATCTGAAAAAGAAAGAGAAACAAGCTTTGAGCGTCCGTTTGAAGTATTCATGTCTGTAAACCCTTTTTACCTCATTTTATAATATCCAGAAACCTACCTTAAAATGTCTCACAAAACCCCGCCCAAAACTTTAACTGTCAAAATAATATGATGGAATATGTAAATCAAGGTTGATAAGGGTAATTTTTAACTCCTTAAAGCAAAATAATGACGACAAAATAATATAAATATAACGTTAGATACATTCCCATGTAAACGGATCAAATCGGGGCAAATAGCCTACATTAAAGAGAATTAGGCTACCGACATGAATAAAATTTGCAAGCAGACACTGTCAAAACAGCAATCAAGAAATTAACCGATACCCTCGAAACAACACATGCATCATTTTCAATGTCAGCATGCAGACTGCAGTCATAATAATCCAAATTAAATGCAAAAAGTGCCCAATATAAGTGATAGGAAAAAGCAACGCAATTATTTCACACTCGTTCATGCACACACGACAGTCAAAACTGTTATTCATAAAAAAAATAACAACAACAAATTACCTTCGTGTAGCTCTATCATTTTACACAGAACTAGAGGAAGCCTCTTGTTAAGTTCATATTTGTAGAACGTAATACAGAACTTTGCACAGTCAAAAGTAAACCCTTTTTACCTCATTTTATAATATCCAGAAACCTACCTTAAAATGTCCAACTGGATATGAGCAAATAAACATTTAAAAAAGTAAAGCAACAATAATAAATGTGATTTTTTTTTTTACTTGTTTTCATTTTAAAGGGTTACTATTAAAGCCTACCATTTTGCATATGAAATAAAGTAATAAAACACCAATATGGAAAACGTAAATGGTTTGAAAACATAAACGATCACAAGCCCAATGATATAGCTTCATTGACAATGAAGCCACACCCAGGGTTGCCAGATTGGATGGACGATTTCCAGCCCAAAAGCTCACAAAAAAAACGCCCAAAACTTTGTCAAAATAATGTGATGAACATGTAAATCAAGGTTGATAAGGGCCATTTTTAACTCCTTAAAACAACTAAAGACCTGTCACTAATTAATCATAACGTCTGTCTGCTGAGTCCTCGTGATAAGTGCAGCTGTCGACGTTTCCATCAGCACCAGCGCCTCTGCAGTGTGTGTGTGTGTGTGTGTGTGTATGCGTTGTGATGATTGATTGATTGTATGTATGCAGTACATGCATACTTGGGTTTGTCTGTTAAACAATTATCCTATGCAATTTATATGTTTAAAAACCGCCAAACTGAGCCCAAACCAGCCCAAATTTCGTCCACCCGCCCAAACCAATTTTTATCCGCACAATCAAATTCAAAACCGCCCAATCTGGCAACACTGGCCACACCATAGACTGAGCCACACCCACAAATTGCGGAGCTACTTCTTTGACCAAAGTCTGTGACCTACACGATATTACTAGGCGGGAAACGTAAGTAGAACACTGTTTCCGAATAAGAAATATAAAAGACTATCCAGTTAAAAATATGATAAATATGATTTTCTCAACAAGAAAAACATACCATATCGCAATCCCTGAGGCGAAAATTGTCTGTCCTGACTGAGGCGAAATAGGTCTTGCCTCTGAAAATAACCATACTATTGTCAACAGTGCCAAAGTTATTACAATTATAACGATAATATAAAATCATAATGAATTCATATCAGGTCTCCTTCAAATAGTGAATGTAAAAACTGTTGTTAAGTCCAGCTGGTGGATGACCTCCCTATCATAATTCGAACAGCTTAGTCTTCGGCCATTTTCAAAAAAACGTCTAAAGCCACATCTTTTTCGCCAGCACCTGACGAACTAATACTAACACTTACCTATTCTATTCTATTCTATTCCATCTATTTAAAAAAAAACAAACCTAGCTATGTGTACTGTGCTAGAACTGAGACTTATCACAGCACTTGTATACACTGTTACTCTCTCGTTCGTCTGATTGCTTCTATTGTCCTCCTCATTTGTATGTCGCTGTGGATAAAAGCGTCTGCTAAATGATTAAATGTAAATGGAAGTCCCATTTTAAGTAGGCTACTATTTTTTGTATTCATTAATTTACAAATGTATCATTGATTTGTAGTAATTTATTACTTTTTTTTTTTTCTATATTTCATGTATTTTAATGTTTTTTTTTTCTTCATGTATTTAAAATATTCTTTTTTTAATGATGAGCATGTCTTCCTGACATCTTGGTGAAACTGTGCTACTAAATTGTAAGGTCTTACTGTTTATTAACTATCATGTTAGATTCCACTTTCTTAGAAAGAAGCAGGTTTCTTCAGCTCGACATGTTGAGCAGGTAGGTCACGTTTGCAGCACCAGGTGAAAGATTGACGTTGGTGCTCTGTTAACTCAGGTAAGATGCTCTGGTGTCTGTTCTCCCGTCTGTTGACATTAAAAGGCCCGGGAAGGTCCATTAAGTAGTTTAATGGTGGCAAATCGAACGACTAAACGAGCTGTGACAAATGAAACAAGGTGCAGAGGTTTGTGAATTAAAGACACTGGCGAATCGATACGTTATCTCAACAGTGTAAGCCAACTTATTCAGCATTGACATCTAGAACTTGACTAAGGCCAAAAACTTGAATGCAACCATTTCATTTTGTATGGTGTTGCATTCTGAAATTATCACAACTAAAATGTGTGTGTGT